GCTATAGCGCTGCACAGCAAAAACGCATAAAAATGGCCGTGGAACGTACTTTTAACATTGCGTAATGCGATTTTGCATTTCAAATACGCAAAAAATACATTAAAGCATAGTCCTAGCCAGACTCTTTTCTTTAGTATAAGTTCTAACCCGTATTATTATAAGCCATCAACTGCTGTCTACAGTATAATTTTTTGCAGGCATTTTTCATTTCTTTCAGATTTCTTTAAATAATATTTGCTCAGAAAGCTGTGCGTAAATAAAGAAAACGTGTCAGAACTGCAATTAACTACATGTGTAAAAGGACATATAAAAAATTTAACTTATTTTTTGAGTAGCAAAAGTGAAATTTGAGAATTACACTTAGTACAATTATTATTTTCGGTCAACCTCTAGATAAAGGCGAAAAGAGTAGGCTTTGAAGGCTCCATCAACACACGGTCGCATTAATAACCCAAACTGCAAAACACGTGCTTGCATTGACCTGATTGAGTGACGTTGTTAGTTACCATACTGCAAAAATGAAGCAACTAAATGCTAATAACAACTGCGGGAAGTAAATGTAAAGTGAAAGAAACAACAAAAGTCTTGCCAGTTATCGCTGTTGTTTGTATGTCATTTTCCACAACCGTACTGGTAAGTTGCTCACTTCTAAATAGCTTGACTTGATTGATTTGTTCCCAGTTTTAGTGTTAATTTCAAGCTACTGTCTATGTTTTATTGCGGTCGACCGCTATCGGAATATTGTGAAGCCGACCAGAGAGCCCTGGACGACGCGTCGTGCTCATTCGTTGATGGCTGTTTCCTGGTTCACGTCTGCCACTGTTTCTTCACCACTGTTTATCACACAGCGTTTGCAACCGTTGGCACTCGAAAATACAACACTGTGCGGCTATGTAAGCGTTTCCTTTACATTTAAGAAATTTGCTTAAATTGTTGCTTTGAAGGCGAAGGATTGTAATAAAAATAATAATAACCCAGGCTGGAAAGCATCAGGTGAGCTGGTGCGATCATGTATTTTTACACTATGTTGTGCTGTACCAAAGTCGCTAGGAACTACAGTAGCTAGAATTTGTGACATACTAGCCCTTGAAGTTCAGAAAGTTAACTGTGCAGCTACGTGGCATGTCAGTTGTATTTGCCGGCTTCAGTGGCTCGAGAAATGAAAGGTTGCTGATGCGTGAAAAAGACCCGCCTAGAAAAGTTGAACTGAGTTAGGAACATTCCCTCAAAATCCCAGCCTTCTAGCTTTTCTTGTTCCTGAGTTATCAATTTTCTCGCCAAAATTTTCACATGCTATACGTAACTCCCGAGCGGCTCTAAGGAGCTGAATTAGAAGTCCTTTGATCGTACATGAATATTGAACACTGCCCTGAAGTTTCAGCCTTCCAGCTTTTCTCATTCCCAAATTAGCAATTTTCCCA